TATCTATCGACTTAATTGCAGCGGACTACGATCAAGAAGTGGAGCACAAGGCTAAATGCAGTTTACGCACGACGAGCAGGAGGAGCTCGACAGTGTGGGACTCAGGCGGACAGCCAATACCCACTAAAACCAGGGTGGGGGGGGGAGCGGGGGAGGCGAGTGGGAGAAGGTGGAGGGGGAAAAGGTTGGATGGTGCGCGGGGCTGGCGTCCTTAGACGCGGCTGGCGATGCAAGCAAGGTCGGTGGGAGGGAGGGGAAGGAGTGGTGTGGTGGTGGAGAAGCGTCGGGAGCGGGAGAGGGTCCAGATCTCGTGAATGAAGCGGGTTTGGCGGAGGATGGAGGGGAGGAGCTGCTTGGACAGCGGAGAGGGGCAGGCAAGTTGTTGGAGGGAAGGGTGAGGGATGGTGTTATCTGTAGCTAGAGCCCATATTTCAATAGATTTTTCGCACTCAGTGAAAAGGTGTTGGATGGACTCAGCTTGGGGCGAGAGACAGATCCGGCACGCCTTAGTGAGGTTGTTGGGGAAGGGGGCTGTGCCACCGAAAGGAGGGGGCGCGGCGGCAACTTGGGTGCCAGGGTGGAGGGATCGAAGGGAGAGGAGGTGGGATGTGTTGGTGTGGTCTGGGAGGATGTGTCGAAGGATCCGGAGGTACTTCCAGTACGCTTTCCAGTCAGAGGGGCGGAAGGAAGTGGGGGTAGGAGTCCAGGTAGGGAGGATGGTGCTGTAGCGGTGTTTGGTGAGAGAGGACGCGGTCTTGTCAAAGGAAGCGTCACTCAGCTCATTTCCACTCCATTCCTCACGGAACTGGCTAGGGGGATGCGGAAGTTTGGCTTTTTGGCGTTGGAAGGGTTGAGAACAGTGAGGGACCACGCGAGCCTAGAGGAGGAGAGGGAGGGAGATAGGGTGACTGAGCTGTTCCATGCTTCAAGGTAGGACCTCCAACGGGATGGAAGACTTAGCCTGAGGCTTGCCACCGTCCCAATCCAGCTGGTGTCGTCAAAAGAGGGGGATCTGGGAAGGCAGAAGAGTGCCCACCAAGTCCAGACTCTCTTGGGGGAGTTGCGGCGGTAGACGTCGTCCTGGTAGATCCTCTTCCGGAGGAGGACGTCCTCGAGGAGTATAGATCGTATGGCTCGAAGGTGGCGGATGTGGAAGGAGGTTGAGGGAAGGAGGTCGAAGATCCAGCGCGCCCTAGGACCCTGCAGCTTAAGGGACAGGTCAAGGAGTCCAAAGCCACCGCATTCTAGAGGGGTACATAACCTTTTCTTTGAGACTAAGGGAGTTCCCTTCTTGCCCCAGATGGTGGAAAATGCGGCTTCTTGAAGGGAGGAAATGATTGTTGGAGGCGCGGGGGAGAAGCGATCGAGGTAGAGGATTTTGGTGAAGCAGTACTTGTTGATTATGGCGCATCTGGTGGAGATAGGAAGGTCATACATCGGGATAGATCTCATCCTCTGTACCACCTTGTGAAGGGCGGCGTTCCACTCCTTCTCCCTGTCCACTGACGGCCCCATCTGCACGCCTAAGCACCTGAACTCTGAGAGGTGGACCTTCCAGTCGCCCCACTGAGTCCTGAGGAGGGGTAGAGAGCGGAACTTGCCAATGGGGATGAGAAGGGACTTGGAGTAGTTCGTCCTGGAGTTGCTGGCCTTGCAGAATGTGGTGAGGGCTGATTGGAAGCGGGAGAGGTCGTCGTAGTCCCTGACAAAGCAGTTCACATCATCAGCGAAGAGCAGCTCTCTGAGAAGAGGGAGGTGAGAGGATGGTATCCCTAGCACTTCCTTTCGGATGAGAGAGGCCAATCCCTCTATGGCTATGGCGAATAGGGAGGGGGCAAGGGGATCTCCTTGCCGGACGCCTGAGAGAAGTGGGAGTGAGGTGGTGAGCCATCCATTGAGATATACTCGCGCTTTTTGAAGAGGTAAACGTAGCTGAGTACCACTGTTGGGCTTTTGGCCCAAAACCTAGCCGATCAAGCGTCTGTTGGAGGTATTGGTGAGAGATCCTGTCGTATGCCTTCTCCAGGTCCACTGAGGCCATGAGGCCAGGGTGAGTGTCCTCAGTGTTGAAAGCGCAGTGAATCTCCTCAATGTTGGTGCCAATCCACCGCCCTGGGATGAAGCCGGTCTGCTGGGGGCCAATGATGTGGTGGAGGACGGGGGCGAGGCGACGATTGTGGGCCTGGGATAGGAGGCGCGAGTCCGTGTTGATGAGGGAGATGGGGCGCTTGTTGGAGAGGGAGGAGTGGTTGCCCTTCTTGTGAGGGAGGTGGATGTGTACCTCCTGTGAAGGGAGCGTCTCAGCGTCATAGAAAGGGATGGTGTTGAGGACAGTGAGGAGAATGGGGCCAGTGACTTCCCATGTGGCTGTGTAGAACTCGAAGGGAAGTCCGTCAGGCCCAGGGGAGCAGCGACGCTGGCATGCCTTGAGGGCAGATGAAAGCTCTTCGAGGGTGTAGTCCTCCTCTAGGGCTGCCTGCGCATTAGGGGGGAGGGAAGAGGAGTGAGAGGAGAGGGTGGACTGGAGGTCTGGCGCGCTGATCTCTGTGGGGGAGTAGAGGGCGGAGAAGAAGCGGTGGGCCTCGCCTAGCATGTCTTCAGTTTCCGTTACCTCTCCTGTGGGGGTTGTGAGGGAGGGAATGAGGTCAGCTGCTCTGATCTGGCGCAGCCGGATGGAGAGAGATGACTCCCCAGCCTCAGAGGGAGGGAGGCGAGCTCTGATCGCCTGACCACGGTGTTCCTTCGCTTGTTGGAGCTGAGGGTGGTTGAGGCGATCAAAGATGGAGTGCTGGATGGAGAGGGTGCGGAGTTTTGGGCCTAGGTGGGCTTTAGTGTGTCTCCAAGCCTCTAGGGGATTGTCCGGGAAGAGGAGAAGGGAGGAGGAGAAGAGAGAGTGGATGGTGGTGGAGAGGTACTCAGCTATGCCCTCCTTCTGAAGTAGATCCACGCTGAGCTTGAATTTCCCTGGCCCTGTATGGATGGCGCCAGGAAGGAACAAGGACATGAGGATGGGATTGTGAGTGGAGCGCCTAGCTGACCAGATGGCGTGCCTCCTGACTAGGGGGATGAGATCTTGACTAATGTAGAACCGATCCAGCCGTCGGTTGGCGCCATTTGGCGTGGTAGCTGTGTTGGTGAAGGCGCGCTTGGAGGGGTGACTCAGCCTGTAAGCATCTGACAGAGAATGGCGCGAAAGGAGGGATTTGAGCTCAGGGAGGCCAGGGTTGACGCAGTTGGGGTTGGAGGAGTCGATCCTCGGGTCCTCTACACAGTTCCAGTCGCCTCCTATGATGAGAGAGGTGTTGTCAGGCAGATCTTGGAGGACTTGGGAGAGGTTTGATAGGAAGGGCTTCCGCTCCCTGGCTTCTACAGGGACATAGAGGGAGATGATTGTGATGTTCTTCTCACCGATGGTGAAGGTGGCGTCACTGGAGCGGCGCGGGTTGTCGAGTTTGGAGGAGAGGAAGTTGAGGGGCTGTGCTGGGGAGGAGAGGGAGACAATTTGGGAGTTAGTTTTGTAGAGGATAGCGGTGTGGTTGAAGGGGAAAAAGAGGGCCGTTAGACCGAGTGATGAACAGTCGTTTGTCCAGCTGGTGATCTCGTCTGGAGAAGGACAGCCGGTCTCTGAGAGAAGGAAGATGTCTGCTGAGGAGTGGGAGAAGAGGGAGAGGGTGTTGAGGCGTTTACGGGCGTCTCTGATGCGCTGCACATTAGCTGCAACAATTGAGAAGTTAGGGTACTTATTCATAGCTCGGTCTCCATCTCTGCTCCTGCCTCAGTGGCTGAAGAGGGCTGAGCAGGCGCCACGTGGCCTTCAGGAGTTGGTGTGGGGGAGGAGGAGGAGGAGCCGGGTTGAGGAGAGGGGGAGGGCTGGGGAGGCGTTAAAGTGACGATTTGGGGAGATGGGAGGAGAGAGGAGGTTGTGGGAGGGTTTCCTGGCGCTGAGGGGGTTGGACTGCTGCTGCCAGTGGATGTGGGCTCTGTGGGTGGTAGGGGGGCTCCAGGGAGGGAGTCAGGGGTCAGAAAGTCTCCCAAAGTGAAAGGGGAGCGCCCTTGAGGGGACTGGGAGGTGCCTTCCCTGGCCCTCTTGCGAGGGGAGTCAGGAGGAGGGGGAGGTTGGGTGGGTGAGGTGGAGGGGGCTGTGCGTGCGCGCGCGCTGGCCTGTCCAAAGATGAAGGCGGTGGGAGGGTTTTGGCGCGCAGGAGAGGGGCAGTGCTGCTGTGCATGGCTAGTCTGTCCACAGGAGCGACACTGGGGAGCAGAGGGGCACTCAGAACGGCGGTGTTCAGAGGAGCGGCAGTAGGAGCAGAACGTGTACTTCCCAATGATCTGGACACGGAGAGTCTCCTCCCAGGATCCCCTCTTGAGGACAAGGCGACTGGGAGGGTAGGCCTTCTTGGCTCCGAGGTCAAGGAGGACGTTGACGGTGCCAGTGGGAGTGATGGTGTTGGGGTAGACAGTTGACTCAACTGTAACAACTGAGCCGTATTCCGCAATAGTTTCCTTCAGGAGGTCCAGCCCTCCATCGTGTGGGAAGATGGCACTAATCTGGCACTGGATCAGCGAAGATTGGTGCGAGTTGTGAAGGGAGATGATCTTGGCAGTGGCCTGCCCAATCTCGAGGCCTGCCGCCTGCAGGGCGGTAGTATCGGTGCCAGTTGGGAACTGGATGAAGGTGTAGCCGTTAGCTTGGAAAGGAAAGCCTTTTAGAGCTTTGAACTGGGCCTCTAGGGCCACAGCAACGGCGAGGGTGGTGATCGTGCCCGGATGGTCCACGCGGACACAGTCGGGACGGGGGATGGAGAGGGGTGGTGGAGGGATGGTGGGGGTCTGAGGAGGTTTATCGGGTGCTTTCTTGGCGGCCTGGTGGGCGTTACCAAGCGCTGAGGCGTAGGATACCGTTTGCTTCCTCAAGGACATTTTTCTGTTTTTGGTTGATTTTTTCGGCACCACCTGGCATGCTGGGACCGTCACTTTGAATCGACGGAGCATACAAGTTGGCTCCTATGGCTCAGTGGTAGAGCGTGTGCCTAGTATTTCTCAATTCGAGTCGTACGGTTCAGCACAAGGTCCACGGTTCGATCCCGTGTGGGAGCACTTCTTTTGCCTCTGGCTTTTTTTTGCATACGCGCCGTTCTTTTTTGTTTGCGTTCCATAGGGACGGACAAACTCGTCTTCTCATTCCACGGAAAGCCACACGTTACTCCTTTTTGCTCTTGAGCGTCGCAACCCACTCGTCGGTGGTGAGGACGCGGTTCGCGAACAAGGGCCAGATGAGGTTCGTCGCCGCGTCCTTCTGCTCGGTCGAGAAGCCGGCAGTCGCGTCAGAAATCATGGTGATGTTGTATCCGCTGTATGATTACATCAGTGAGACTTCACGAGATAGGGCAGCGTGTACTTACAGCTCATAAGCGTAACGAGCGGTCGCCTCGAGGCACGTGTTGGCAACAAAGCCGACGAGGATGACGTTCTCGATCCCTCGTTGCCTCAGAATGTAGCTTTGAAAGGGACTATGTCAAAATTTACTTTCTGTGCCAAGTCAGTATTTCACCTACTCGACGTCAGTGTTGTGGAAAGCGCTGCCGAGGAAGCATGTCAGCCAGCGCACTACATGCCTTCGGGACAAAGTGCTGACGACGTACCTGCTGTTCCAGTGCCTTGAAGCACAAATATCACCATTGGAGGTAACAGGCTCAAGACCTTTATAGATCTTCACTCCGAAGCTCCCCTCCTCAAAGACCTTGTTCTTGGCGATGCGCTGGTGCGACACGTTCATCTCACGCTTCCAGCCGAGGAAGTCGCCCTCAACGACTTGGTGGTGGTTGGCGTAGATGACGGGGATGCTGACTGAGCGAGCAGCGGTGAGCACGGTATGGAGGTGCTCCACGGTGTTGCTCTGGTCGATGGAGGTTTTGAGGAGAGGGTAGAGCTCCCCTTCTGGGTGACAGCAGTCGTTGTAGAGGTCGACGGCAATGTTGGTGGGTGGCATTGATTGATGATATTCAAGAGAGAACAAAAGAGAGAAAGGAAGGGAAGAGAAGCAACGAAAGGCGAGATGTCCAAGGTTCGAGTAGCGAACCGCTCGTGACGTGGTTTACGGCGGCACGGCCTCCAAGTCGGACGAGAGTTGAAGTGTCTAGATCTGACATCAGCAAGACGGCCGTTATCTTGAAAAGAAAGTGCTGGTTACGACAGAAGCCGAGGGATTGCCGGAAGAATCGTGACTTGCTTTGTTCCTTGCGGTCGCGAGCCTCCGCTCAGAACACGTTGCCCCATTCCACTCTTTTCTCCGATGGTACTGCAAACCACTTGAGACCAGAGTCAGAAGGAGCCTGATTCTCGTCGGTGAGAGAAAAGATATTCCGAGTGCCATTTGTGGGTCCGGCCCATGGCCGCCCGCCTGAGCGCCTCTGTCCGTCCAGACTCGCCCCACGAGGCCCTTCTGCTCGGAATATCGGGTACGGAAGACGGGCGGAGTCCAGACCGACGCGAGGGCTCCTTATCGCCGTGCTGTGTTTACTCGAGCGTCGCGTCTAGGAGCTGGCTGGCGTGACGTCGTCTCTGTTTCTGGAACGGCAATACAAGGTGACAGAGATGCGTGGTCTGGGTACGGAGCTCTAGACGCAAAGCGTCTCTGCTCCGTCACCACAAGAAGGTCGAATGTGCTCCCAAATGGTGCGTTTCAGATGATGCAAGGGCTTTGAAGGTGTGAAGGTTGAAAAAAAAAAACACGCCGGCGAGCAACAGGACCACGGTGGTGTCGAATTT